GCTCTAGGATGGCAAATGCCCTACAGGCTTGCCTACAGCCCTATCCTATGGAGGCATTTTCTCAGTTGAGGCTCCCTCCTCTCTGATGACTGCAGCTTATGTCAAGTTGACAGAAAACTAACCAGTACAACTGACCCCATATCAACTTCACACACAAACACTGCTGTTAAGTCACAACCTTCCCTTTCTTGTTCATCCTCAAGACCACACATTAATATAAATACCAATATAAAACATTTTATAAACTAAAAAAGTCAAATAAAATACTTTAAAATTTATTTCACTCAAGTTGGGTGGTGGTGGCCCACATATTAAATCTCAGCACTTGGGAGGCAGAGGCAGGTGATCTCTGAGTTTTTTGAGACCAGCCTGTTCTACAGAGCTAGTTCCAGAACAGCCAGGGCTGCACAAAGAAACCCTGTCTCAAGAAAAGAAAGGAAGGAAGAAAGAAAGAAAAGAAAGAAAGAAAGAAAGAAAGAAGCTGGGCGTTGGTGGTGCACGCCTTTAATCCCAGCACTCGGGAGGCAGAGGCAGGTGGATCTCTTGTGAGTTCGAGGCCAGCCTGGTCTATGGAGCTAGTTCCAGGACAGCCTCCAAAACAATACAGAGAAACCCTGTCTCGGAAAGAAAAAAGAAAGATAGAAAAATTCAGTCCCTTAACTGTGGGCTCCTATAAAACGAAGAATAAATTAAATGCTTTATTTCTTTTTTGTTTGTTTGTTTGGTTTTTGTTTTGTTTTGTTTTACGAGACGGGGTTTCTCTGTATTCTTTTGGAGGCTGTCAGTCCAGCCCGGCCTCGAACTCACAGAGATCCACCTGCCTCTGCCTCCTGAGTGCTGGGATTAAAGGTGTGCTCCACCAACGCCCTGCTTAAAAATAAATCTTTTTTAAAATTTTATTTACGGGGTCTGGAGAGATGGCTCAGAGGTTAAGAGCACTGACTGCTCTTCCAGTGGTCCTGAGTTCAATTCCCAGCAACCACATGATGGCTCACAACCATCTACAATTCAATCTGGTGCCCTCTTCTGGCATGTAGGCAGTAACACTGTATATGTAATAAATAAATAAATCTTAAAATAAAATAAAATAAATTTTATTTACGGGATGGAGAGATGGCTCAGAGGTTAAGAGCAGTGGTTGCTCTTCCAGAGGTCCTGAGTTCAATTCCCAGCAACCACATGATGGCTCACAACCATCTGTAATGAGATCTGATGCCCTCTTCTGACCTGCAGGGATAGATGCAGACAGAACACTGTATACATAATAAATAAATAAAATTTTAAAAATTATTTACATTTGTGAGTGCTTTGCCTGTATGTATGTAAAGGCACTGTGTGTACTTGGTACCACAGAAGCCAGAAGAGGGTGTTGGATCCCCTGGAACTGGAGCTTTAGGCAGTTAACAGTTACAAGTAGGCGTGAAGTACCATGTGGGTGCTGGGAACTGAAACCAGGTCCTCTGCAAGAGCAGCAAGTGCTTTTTACTGCTGAGCCATCTCTCCAGCCCCCAAAGTGGTCTAAACAAGACAGATTTTATTTAGATTTGTTCTTGCAGCAGATCCAGGGTCAGTCATCAGCACTACAAGTGGATCACAAGCTGCTGTTAACTCCAGTCCCCGAGGAATTTGAGGGATTTGGCATCTTCTTCTAGTCTCTATGAGTACTGCATGTATACTGTGCACTTACATACTTGAGAATAAAATCTTTATTTCATGTTTGAGAAGAGCTCTCACTATGTAGCCTTGGCTTGGCTAGAACTCCTTATGTAGACCAGGCCGACCTTAAATTCAAAAAGATCAGCCTGCCTCTGCCTCACCAGTGCTGGGACTAAGGGTGTGTGCCACTTCATCTGGTGAACAAAACACACACACACACACACGCACGCACGCACACACGCACGCACCAGACTTAGGTACATTTTCTGAGGATTCTGAACAATATGTTGAAGCATTTCATAATTTGATTCAAATTTATGAACTATAATGAATGTTGTTTCTAACCCAGACCCAACAGCTACTAAGAAAGATAATGCCCTACAGGCATCTATAAAATATGGAGATGACAAGTGGGTCAAATCCCAGCACTCAGGAGGCAGAGGCAGGCGGATCTCTGTGAGTTCGAGGCCAGCCTGGTCTACAGAGCGAGTTCCAGGACAGCCTCCAAAGCCACAGAGAAACCCTGTCTCGAAAAACAAGACAAAACAAAAAATTGGAGATGACACCTCTATGTGATGAGGACCAGAAAGAACAAGGGCCCCTAGCCCAAATGAAGCCAACTCAACCTTCACTTCCAGGAGGCTCATTGTCCTGGGAATATCTGAGTTTATTTCCTTGATGGATCCTGAATGGAGATGGACGATTCAGACACGCATCCTAAAAGGGCTGTGCAGAATCTGTTCCAAGCCCCTTAACTGTTCCAAATGTTCATTAGTCATTCAAAACATGAGGGAGTTGGAGCTTTAACTCAGTGGTAGAGTGCTGCCTAGCAAGCACAAGGTAGGTCCTGAGTTCTGTCCCCAGCTCTGGGGGAGGGGAGGGGCAGGTAAGGGGGTGGAGGAGGGGGAAAGAGCACCCTTAACCAAATTCACTCAAGGGCTGTCCAGTTTCTTTCTTCTTTTTTTTTTTTTTTTTTTTGGTTTTTCCGATACAGGGTTTCTCTGTGGCTTTGGAGGCTGTCCTGGAACTCACTTTGTAGACCAGGCTGGCCTCGAACTCACAGAGAACGCCTGCCTCTGCCTCCCGAGTGCTGGGATTAAAGGCGTGCGCCACCAACGCCCGGCCTGAGTAATTTGATTAAGATGGCCACTACAATCTTTTATAATTGGATTTGGAGGCCATACAGAGGGAAAGACAAGGCCTTATAAGCCCCAGGCTCTACCAGTGCTCTATAAGAAAGTGACCTAGAACCCAAACCTAAACTTCTAAGAACTAATAAGTAGAACTGCAACAGCCTCAACACTCCAAAAAGACTGTCCCTGGGAGAAACGGCTACTTCAGCCTTGGACCATCAGAGACCTGTCTGTCCTTGAAGGTGAAGAACTCCAAGACCAGAGGCAGCCCCACAAATGGTCCAAATGGGCTCAAGGGACCTAGAGCTACTCCAGTTCCATCACTTTACAGGAGCCCTGGGTGACTATCATTCTCCAGCTGGGCACTAAGCCTCATATTCATTTTTGAGCCCTAATCCTGACTACATCTTCCCAAACTGTGACTGTGGTAGGCATTTCTGCAAGCCTGTAGCCAGGAATTTTTCTATGCTACCTCTCAGTTATAACGCTGGAGTACTTTTCTCCTGTATTTAACTATATCTCTTCTGTGTGTGTGTGTGTGTGTGTGTGTTTTATGTTGTATGAGTGTTTTGCCTTCTGTATATATTTGTACCACTTGCATGCCTAGTGCCTGTGGAAGTCATAAAAAGGTTTCAGATCCTCTGGAACTGGAGTTCTGAATGGTTGGGAGTCACCACGTGAGTGCTGGGATGGTCCTCCACAAGAGCAACAAGAGCTCTTACCCACTGAACACCTCTCTAGTCCCTCTCCTCTGCCTTTCTGATTATGCCAGAGATTCCATCCTGTCGCACCTGCTGAGCAGCCTGCATCCGAGAATGTAGCAAGGTGGTCGGGATAGATGACACAGAGACCAGTCGGTTGCTTTAAGAAAACTTTATCCTCCCCAAGTCGGCTTAGGAGAACTCCCCAAGAAAAAACGCTTCCCTTTTTAAGGACTTCTGCCATCCATACACATACAATTCTCCAACCAAGCTCTCACACACCTCTCACAGCTCTCACAGACTTCTCATCCTCCTGGCTGGTGATTTAATCTCCAGCCCCAGAATTGGGGAGAAACAGCAGGGAGCAGGAAGAAGCATCTAGCTGTAGGGGGGATCAAAGTCATGGTGTTTCAGTGAGGGAGCCCTTATCAGAGCCCTACCAAGAGCTTTATGGCACTGAATTGTTTTCAGTAAACATTGTCTTACAGCTGCCTACTCCCAGGCCGAAGGGGAAGTGGGTCTCTGTTCAAGGTCTGGTGTCCCCACACCGTCCCTTTATTGGGGCCGATCTCCATTCTAGATTAGGAAGCTCAGGGCTGGCTAGATGGCTCAGCAGCCCTTTCCAGCAAAGCACACACCTGGTGAACAGACAAGCATGCAGGTAAGACACCCACAACATAAAATAAGTCTATAAATAAGTAAAGTAGGTGGGTCTATCCTTATAGTTCCCAGGCTGATGTTAAGTCTGTCCTTGATCCAGGAAGACATTAATCCCGAGGTCTGGCCAAAAAAAGGGCAAGCAGGAGAGCTAAGACAGCAAAGCCTGTACAAATTTGTCTCTACGATCTCTCTTCCTTTCCCTATCAGAGGTAATATTCTTTGAGATAGGGTTCCAAAAAGGCCTGCCTCTGGCAATAAATAATTTAAATTTTGAACTCTTTGAGTGCTATGCAACAGCCCATGTAACTCTTCTATTATTGGGAGTCTAGAAGTCCAATGGGAAGTGATTAATGAGACTGCAAGCCCCGTCCACCCTGTGGTACCCACCCCTTACACAGCTAGCCCAAACACTGGAGGGAACCCTCTGCATACAGTTTCTGATCTGAAAGACCCTTGAGGAACTGCCCTACCAGAGCACTAGAATTAAGCAAAGGCTTTGCTTAAGGTTACACACTCTAGACGCTCTTCCTGGTTCTATATGCACAAGCAGCCACATGGAAGGAGAGTGTGATGGTTTGAATAAGAATGGCCTCCATACGATTATATATTTGACTGCTTAGTTATCAGGGAGTTGCACTACTTAGAAGGATTAGGAGGTGTGGCCCTGTTGGAGGAAGTATGTCCCTGGGGGTGGGCTTTGGGGTTTCAAAAGCCCAAGCCAGGCCCAGTGGCTGTTTTCCTCACTGCCTGCAGATGTGGATGTATAACTCTCAGCTCTTTCTCCAGCACCATGTCTGCCAATGTGCCGCCGTGCCTTCTGCAATGCCGAGAATGAACTAAACCTCTGAACTGTGAGCCAGCCCATCACATGCTTTATTCTATAAGAGTTGCAGTAGTCACGGTGTCTCTTCACAGCCATGGAACGCTGGCTAAGACAGAGACACTTTCTTACTGCTAATGGCTCTCCCATGGCATACCACAACAAGTAGACAGATTAGTGTCCTGTATGAGAATCTAGCTGCAGCTTTGTAGCGGCTCTCCCTCTCTGGCAGATACCCACAAACGTCTAAGACATTGTGACTCCCTGCCTAGCCATGATCACTATCTGGATAGTGAGTTTACACCAAAGAAGTGCCATGTTGTGTGCCCTGCCTTCTTACCTGCATCCCACCTGGCGATCAGAGAGCCTGGCCTCAGCGCTTACTGTAAACTTACCACCAGGGAGCTATACAAGACTTCCATTTCTGTCAGGCACTCAGGAGGCAGAAGCAGGCAGATCTCTGTGAGTTCGAGACCAGCCTGGTCTACAAGAGCAAGATACAGGACAGCTTCTAAAGCCACAGAGAAACCCTATCTCAAACCCCTCCAACCCCACCCACCCCAAAAAAGACTTCCATTTCTCCACACAGGCTCTCTGCCTCTGGTGATGAGGCCTGGACTCTCTGCAGAGCCTGTACCATGTTGTTACCCACACGGCATGGTTTCAATGACTCTTCCAGCAAATTCCTTAGTCCTAGGTTATCTGTTTTGGTGACTTTGTTCACACCCACTCCTCACATTACGTTGTGGTGACTCGGATACGACACTACTGAAAAGGGTTACACTTTGGGGCTTCCCCCTCCTTCTCCTAACACATATACATATGAGCAACATAGCCTTTGTCCTGTCTGATGAGTCTTTCACGTTACCAGGACACCTGCCAGTCTCCCGAACACGTAAAATCTCAGCACTAGGTCGCATGACTCGGTTCAGGACCAGCCCAGACCACACACTATTGGAGGACACACAGCGTTATCTTTGGCCTTGCGGCTCGAGGACCCTCGTCCCTCTTGCTCTTCACTTGCACCTCGTGGTTCCAGGACAGCCTCCAAAGCTATGGAGAAACCCCGTCTCGTTTTGTCCCGGCATACAGCGTAGGGCCAGTCTCGGTGGTCTTCGGCACACGCGTTGCCCATAGCAAGGACCTTCCGTCCACCTCCACTCCCGGCAGCCTTGAGTTCCAGCATCTCCGGTCGCATTGTCCTCCTCTGTCAGCAGCTTGCTCAGCCTGCACCAGCTTCCTGGGTTGGACTCTCTACTGTGCCTCTCCGGCACAACTAGCATCGTGGCTCTCCGGGTGCTCCCTGGCACCGTGGCTCCTGCCGGCGCGCCCGCTCCTCTGAATGCTCCACTTCGGTGGGGCGCCAAAGCCCCTCTCCCGGTGCCGGCTGCTTTCATCCAAGCCCCGTAATTCATGCCTAGGATTTAAAGCAGATTCATGCTGTTAGCACATGAATAACTTATGCACCCTGGCCAACAGTTGTCACATGGTATGTAGTCAGTCTAGTCTTCTTGTATTTTCTTTTAACTTTGTTTTTAAAGGCTAGTTTAAGGGACTGGAGAGATGACTCAACTGAATTAGAGCACTAACTGCTTTTGCAGAGGACCTGGGTTCTGTTCTCAGTTCTGTAACTCCAGTTCTAGAGTATCTGACACCCTTTTCTGACCTCTCCGGGACCCAGGCATACACACCGTGTAGAGACATACATGCAGGCAAAACACTCATACACATAAAATCTTTTTTAAAAGTTAATTTTAGCAGGGCGGTGGTGGCACAGGCCTTTAATCCCAGCACTCGGGAGGCAGAGGCAGGCAGATCTCTGTGAGTTCGAGGCCAACCTGGTCTACAAAGCTGCACAGAGAAACCCAGTCTCCAAAAAAAATCTTTAAGTGCCCTCAAATGTACAGAAGTAAAACCACAGCATTAGGCTGTTGTCTATTCCTGAAGACATGTGGTGGTGAGTACCAACCATAAACTAGACAGGACTTCGAGTCAACCCTGAGACAAACCTCCAGGCAAGTCTGTGAGGCACTGTCTATGTTGGGTTCATAGAAGTGGGGTCCTGGATTGGATAAAAATAGAGACACTAAGGATCTAGAGAGATGGCTCTGTAGTTAAAGAGCATTGGCTTCTTGTCCAAAGGACCAGGTTTGATTCCCATGTCCCACATGGTGGCTCACAGCTGAAAAACCATACCAATACAAAGTACTCCTTTCTGTGACGGGAGATGTCATTCTGAGATCTGTCCTTTGTTGTTGTTGAATAAAGCACTGTTGGCCAATAGGGAAGCAAGATAGGTGGGACTAGGAGTCGAGGAGGACTCTGGGAAGGAGAAACACAGGGAGATATCATGTAGCCACCATAGGAATAAAAGGTCCGGACCTTTCTCCGGTAAGAGAAATACTTAGATTAACAATTATGGAGTAAATACTTAAGCCACAGACAGCCAGTAAGAAATCAAGCAAACGGCCAACAGCTTCATAATTAATATATAATCCTGTGTGTTCATTTGGGACTGATGCTGCTCTGGAACCAGGCTGGCGGGAAGGCTTTACCCAACACACAGTCACATATGACACCAGTTCCAGGGAATTTATGACCTCTTCTGGCCTCCTTGGGAAGGTACACATATGGTACACAGATGTATATTCAGGCAAAACACCCATACACATAAAATAGAATAAAAATACTTTCTTAAAGAAGAAAGCAATACCAAGTGTAGTGACAAATGCATTTAATCACAGCACTTGAGAGGCAGAGGCAGATGAATCTCTGCATTTGAGGCCAGTCTACTCTGGAGTGAGTTCCAGAAGAGCCAGGGTTACACAGATAAACCCTGTCTTGAAAAGGAGAAAGAGAAGCAGCTGGTGGCACCCACCTTTAGTCCCTGTACTCAAGCGGCAGAGGTGCAGGCCTTTAATCACAGCACTAGCTGGGGCAGGGGCGCAGGCAGATCCCTGAGTCTGAGGCCAACCTGGTCTACAGTGTGAGTTCTAGGACAGCCACGGATACACAAAGAAATCCTGTCTCAAAAAAACAAAACTAATAATAATGAGGTGGAGGAGGAGGAGGATGATAGAAAAGAAAGTAAAAAAGTTGTCGGAGGCTGGAGAGATGACTTAGTGATTGAGAACATTTGCTGCTTTTGTAGAGGACTTGAGTTTGGTTCCAGGACCACATCATACAGCTCGGCTCACAACTTCCTGTAACTCACACATTCAAATGAAAATAGCCTCTACACTCACTTTTCAGTAAACTTCACATTCTTCATCTGAAATCTAGTAAGAACTGTCTTTAGTGTCTACATTTCCATCAGCAGTCTATTGTGGAATGTTATTTTAACCGTGTTACATTTGTTTATGCTGTGGAATATTTAACTGTGTAAAGGTGTGTTTCGTTTGTTTATGCTGCATTTGTTTAACTATGTAAAGATGTGTTATATTTGTGCTGCATTTGTTTAATTATGTAAAGATGTGTTGCATTTGTTTCGTCTTGCCTGCCTAAGGCACATGGTCTAATAAAAAACTGAATGATCAATAGCTAGGAAGGGGATAGGTGGGGCTGGTAGGCAGAGAATAAGTAGGAGAAACCTTGGCTCTAGAGAAAAGGAGAGAAGAAAATGAGGGAGAAAGAGAAGGACACATCCAGGGCCAGTCACACTTATCACAAATAAACCTACATCTATGTACCAGTTTTCTGTATTAGTCGCTTTTCCTGTTCCTGCCACCAAATATCAGATAAAGCTACCTAAAGGAGAAAAGATTTGTCTTGTGGCTTGGAAGGATACCCAGTCCATCATGACCAGGAAGGCATGGATGCAGGCAGTTCCATGGTGGCAGGAGGATATGCAAGTGGTTATACCAAGTCAGGATGCAGACTCAGGGCAGGAAGTAGGGCTGCGTTATAAAACGTCAAGGATGCTGGGTGTGGTTGTGCATGCTTTTTTTAACTGAAGCACCCCAGAGGCCAAGGTGGCAGATCTGAGTTTTAGGCCAGCCTGGTCTATGAGTTGCAGGCCAGTTAGGGCTACGCAGTAAGCCATCTCAAAATAAATAACTAGCTGGGCGTTGGTGGCGCACGCCTTTAATCCCAGCACCCGGGAAGCAGAGGCAGGCGGATCTCTGTGAGTTCGAGGCCAGCCTGGTCTACAGAGCGAGTTCCAGGACAGCCTCCAAAGCCACAGAGAAACCCTGTCTCGAAAAAACCAAAAATAAATAAATAAATATATAAATAAAACCTCAAGGCCTGCCTCCACTTCCTTCAGCTAGGCCCTACCTTTGTTCCACAAACTCCCATAACAGTACCACCAGGCCAGTGAGATGGCTCAGTATGTAAAGACACTTACTGTGCAAGCCTGATGGGAGTCTGATCCTCAGAACCTCTAGAAGTGGAACTAAGTGGCTCCACAGGGCTGTACACACACACACACACACACACACACACACACACACACACACACACACACGTGTGTGTGTGTGTGTGTGTGTGTGTGTGTGTGTGTGAATTTAAATGTTTTCAATGGCCTAAAAGGGCATGGTGGTGCATGCCTTTAATCTCAGCATTCAGAAGGCAGAGGCAGACAGATCTTTGTGAGTTCAAGCCCAGCACTGTCTACATAGCGGGTGTCCAGGCTAACCAAGGCTACAAAGCAAGACCACGTCTCAAAAACAAACAAACAAACTGGGAAAGCCAGGACCAAGGGTGGAACCGGGGCCCCCTTCTACTCCCAGCCTACGTATTTGCTTCTCATTTTGTCAACTTTGCACCCTGCTCCTTTGTCAGTGTCAGCCCCCATGGGAGAAATTCTCCCTCCAGGTGATAGGATGTGGCTCCACAGTATTGGAAGGTGAGACATTTGGAACTGAATGAACTGCAGAGAAAAGAGTTACTTTATTGGCTGGAATCACTGACATTTGAATAGAATGAAGTTGGGTTGCTGCTATGTGATTGGGGTAGGCAGAAGTTTCTGTCCAGCAAGTTGCTCTCAAGTAGCCACACAGAGGTTTAATATTAATTATAAGTGCTCGGCCAACAGCTCAGGCTTATTACTAGCTAACTCTTACATTTAAATTAACCATATTTCTTACATTTGCTTTGCTATGTGACTTGGTACCTTTTCAGTGTGGTGTGCCCATCTTGCCTCTCTTTGTATCTGCTTGAGACTCCTGATTCCACCCTTCTTCCCAGCATTTTCCGTTTTACTCTTCCCCTAACCTTATCCTGTCCAGATATTAGCCAGTCAGCCTCTTTATTAAACCAATCACAGTGACATATAGTCACACAATGTAAAGGAATACTCCACAGATTAAAGGTGGTATCTGACCCTGGTGTTAGTGGCACACATCTTTAATCCCAGCACTCCGGAGGCAGAGGCAGGCGGATCTCTGTGAGTTCGAGATCAGCCTGGTCTACAAGAGCTAGTTCCAGGACAGCCTCCAAAGCCACAGAGAAACCCTGTCTCAAAAAAACCAAAAAAAAAAAAAAAAAAAAAAAAGAATAGTGACTAGGACACAAATTAAATACAAAGTATGAAAAACCTATCTGGGCATCGTGGTACACATCTTTAACCCCAACACTCTGGGAGGTATAGGCAGGTGGATCTTGGAATTCAAGGTCAGTATGGTCTACATAGTGAGTTCAAGGACAGCCAGAGCAACACAATGAGACCGTGTCTCATTTTTTAAAATGTGTGTGTACTTTTACAATATATATATATATATTGTTTTGCAGTATATATATGTACTTTTGCGGTGTATATATACTTTTTCAGTGTATATATACTTTTGCATTATATGTAATTTATTGCAATGTATATATACTTTTGCAGTATATATATGTATACTTTTTCATTTTTGTTTTTGTTTTTGTTTGGTTTTTCGAGACTGGGTTTCTCTGTGGCTTTGGAGACTGTCCTGGAACTAGCTCTTGTAGACCAGACTGGGCTCAAACTCACAGAGATCCGCCTGCCCCTGCCTCCCGAGTGCTGGGATTAAAGGCGTGTGCCACCACCGCCCGGCTTACATATTTATACTTTTGCAGTGTATATATATGTTGCATTTTATATATATAAATACTCTTGCAGTATATATACTTTTGCAGTGTATATACAGCTTTGCAATTTACATATGTTTTTGCAATATATATATATACTTTTGTAGTATATGTATAATGTGAAAGTTTGACATGATTACTTAACACATTTATGTTTATTTCTATATTCAAATTATTGTCTTCTTTTCTGTCACTTTTGTTTTGCTAGTTACTGGAAGTCAGTTTTACAAAGTAGTGTTGAGGTGTAGTCAGACTTTCTTTGGACTGCCAGCTCCCAGTGACATGGAGACTTTTTAAATATGAAAGCTTGGCCTTAGCTTAGGCTTGTTCCCAACTAGCTCTTAAAACTGAAATTAACCTGTTATATCAATCTACATTCTGCCCCATGGCTCATTACCGTTACTCAGCACTGTGCATCTATTTCATGTCTTGTCAGACTACCCCAGTCAGGTATGGGATACCTGGGATGAGGGTCCTCGAAGACTAGGTGGGTAAGGATTCAGCGGTGACAAACAGAAACAAACAGAGGCAGTTTGAATCTGAGTGTATTTTGCAGTTCTCAAACAAGGCTTTTTTATAGAGATATTTTCTCAGGGGATGTTGTTGTTAAGCAAACCCAAACATATGACATTTTTGTTACTTGGCACAGTAATGCAGAAATCCAAAACAGAATTATCCAGGGTTAATCAAAGCATAGAATCGTCCTTGGTTAACATAGAATCATCCAAGTCTAACCACATGTTTCTTAAGTCAAATTAATATATTTTTATGAAGTTATTGTTTAACATCTCTTAACCTAATTCTTGTGAGTTTTTGAAATATTGAGCTATTTTAACCATTTTAAGTCTTTCTTATTAAAAGCTTTCTTTACCAGACACTTAAGTCCACTCTCGATGAACTTTTATTGTTGGGAAAGTTTTTACTTTTTGTACTTATGTGAATGACGTGAAAGATTTGGAAAGAGCTGTTTTTTTCTGGAAATGAGGTCATGGCTAGTGACCCCATCTCACGAGATATTTGCTTTCTTTCTTTTTTCTCTTTCCTTTCTTTCTTTCTTTCTTTCTTTCTTTCTTTCTTTCTTTCTTTCTTTCTTTCTTTTTTTCCAGACAGGGTTTCTCTGTATTATTTTGGAGGCTGTCCTGCAACTCTCTTTGAAGACCAGGCTGGCCTCAAACTCACAGAGATCCGCCTGTCTCTGCCTCCTGAGTGCTGGGATTAAAGGTGTGTGCCACCAAGTCTCAATTTTAAAAGAAGCAGGTTATAAACTCAAATGCTCAAGGGGAACAGGCAGGTGGCAAATGGAGAGTGAGTGTCCTGTTTATTTCTTTATCTTTTTTTTTTGAGACAGGGTTTCTCTGTATTGTTTTGGAGGCTGCCCTGGAACTCGCTCTGTAGATCAGGCTTGGTCTCCAACTCACAGAGATCCACCAGCCTCTGCCTCCCGAGTGCTGGGATTAAAGGCGTGCGCCACCACTGCCCAGCGTGAAACCCCCTTCTTTTGAAGTTATTGCCTCAGTCTGTGGAATTTGTCACACAGAATCTAATGGGTTTGATGTGACAATGTCTACCCAGCAAATCCCCACTTCTTTGATTCCTTCCCAGAGTTCCTGTTGGCCATTCAGCTCTTTATTAAGCCAATTAGAAGGTGCCTTGGCAGAGACAGGTCTTCACAGTGTACAAAAAGACTATTCCACAACACTTAGGTAGCTGGATATTGAGCACTAGGACTGACCTTTGGGAATAAGATTCCTCCTTTAGGGAAAGAGTAAAAACATTTGCATGAAGGACAACTTTATCTTCTTAGGTGGGATCACTTGGCAATGATGGAAAATGTCAATTGTCTCAATTAATCAATACAACTAATGTATTTAAACCTTTATTGCCTCAGAGACTTAACCTGACTTGGGGGATGAGTAAAGGAAGAAATGGGAGTGTACAGAAAGCTGGGCTCAGGTGGTCTGGGTTCTCTGATGGAGAAACTGCAACACTCCAGGGTTCTTAGTTTGTATATTACAAACATGTTCTGTAAGGGAGCAGTCTTCAGGCTGTACATATCTGTTGGAGAAGAGAGTTACAGTGTACATTTTCTGTCCATACTATCAATATCTACACATAGACCAGAGGAAGGCTCTACCATTTCTCTCCTGGGAAAGGCTCTGAGGTCATTGACATAGGCATGTCTGTATCAGTATCAGCAGCACACATTTATTCAGGACTCCCTGTACTTCCTGCAGCTCATTGGATATATTAGTTAACATTGGTGAACAAACAAATGAATAACTTTCAACATTATATCACTGTTCAAACTAACAACTAGTTCTGAAACAGAAAGGTTAAAAGATAAAGAACTGGCCGGCGTTAGTGGCGCATGCCGCACGCCTTTAATTCCAGCAGGTGGATATCTGTGAATTCAAAGCAAGTCTGGTCTACAAGAGCTAGTTCCAGGACAGGCTCCAAAGTCACAGAGAAACCCTGCCTCGAAAAACCAAAAAAAAAAAAAAAAAAAAAAAAAAAAAAGATAAAGAACTGGGAAGATGGCTCAATGGTAAGGGTCCTTGCTGTGCAAGCAGGAGGACCTGAGTTTGAACCCCTGGAGCCCATGTGGAAGCTGGATATGGTATCGAGAGTCTGTAAGCCCAGTGCTCCTCCAGGGACATGGGAGAAGAGACAGAAGAATCCTCTGGAAGCTCACAGGTCAGTATCCTGTGTGCATGGTGGCAAACGAGACAGCCTGTCTCAAGCATGGTGGAAGACGAAGGCCGAAGCCAAGCACTCTCTGATCTCCACGCGTGTGCTGTGTTCCTTTACTTATGCACACACTCGAAAAAACTGAACTGCTAGAAAGTGGGAAAGAAATGAGAGAAAATGAAATAAAGACCACTGTAAGCTGGGCACAGAAAGACTGAATGCTCACACTGTGGAGAAGTTTCAAATCAGAACTGATGGCAGAGTTCTCAGTGTTGTGATTTTAAAACTCGGCACCAGAGAAAGAATGCCATGTGACAGAGCTCACACGAAGGGTTTTTATTAGGAGAAAGGGGAATGGGAAAAGGGGGAGACGAGAGAGAGAGAGAGAGAGAGAGAGAGAGAGAGAGAGAGAGAGGGAGGGAGGGAGGGAGGGAGGGAGGGAGGGAGGGAGGGAGGGAGGGAGGGAGGGAGGGAGGGAGGGAGGAGAGAGAGAGAGAGAGAGAGAGAGAGAGAGAGAGAGAGAGAGAGAGAGAGAGAGAGAGGAGGCGGGGCAGGCAGGACCCTTTTAAAAAGGAACATAGTGAACATGACACTTTTCCCTCCCACACTCAGAAGACAGGAGACTGGCAATGGACACAAAGTGCTCAGAGGGACAAGGTACCAGGGGACTGCCATCCTGGACACCCTGGTTTGTTTGTTGTTTTGTTTTTTGAGACAGGGTTTCTCTGTGTAGCTTTGGAGCCTATCCTGGCACTTGCTGTGTAGACCACACTGGCCTTGAACCCACAGAGATCCACCTGCCTCTGCCTCCTGAGTGCTGGGAGTAAAAATGTGCACCACCACCACCCAGCCCATCCTGGACACTCTAATGAGCACCCACTGCTGCAGACTTCTGTTGGGAGCGCCTCAGGTACCTTGATCTTTGGAGCCAAACCTGTACTTTCTAAAGTCTAAGATTTACATAATTGGCCTATAGCCCTAACAAAGGAGCCTTCTGGGGGTACTCAGAAGAGGAACCACAAAGGTGGAACATAGAAACACCATGACCCAGAAGGCTTGTCCAAACTCAGCCAACCCTAACCATCACCTAGACAACGGCCATTAGCCCACCCATTCCTCTCCCTCCTGAACTTTTTACCTTGCCAATATCCCGATCTATGTGCTGAGACAATACCCTGCTACGTGCGCACCTGGTGCACAAAGCAACCCCTCACCCCCTCCCATTTTCCTGCTCTACCAAGTATATTGACAGCCCTGAGAAAAATAAAAATTGCCACTTGATCAGATACTTGTCTTGTGGTCCTTCTTTCATGTCTCTTGTCCCCATCCCTGGTCCTTATGTCTCTTGCTCTAGGTTGACGTCCTGCGGGTTGGGACAGACTTCTACTTTTTTTTTTTTTTTTTTTGGTTTTTACGAGACAGGTTTCTCTATTGTTTTGGAGGCTGTCGGTCCAGCCCGGCCTAGAACTCACAGAGATCCGCCTGCCTCTGCCTCCCGAGTGCTGGGATTAAAGGTATGTGCCACCACCTCCTGGCACTTACTTTTTTTTTTTTTTTTAAGAAATTAGGAGCCGGGCGTTGGTGGCACACGCCTTTAATCCCAGCCCTCGGGAGGCAGAGGCAGGCGGATCTCTGTGAGTTCGAGGCCAGCCTGGTCTACAGAGCAAGTTCCAGGACAGCCTCCAAAACAATACAGAGAAACCCTGTCTCAAAAAACCAAAAAAAAAAAAAAAAAAAAAAAAAAAAAAAGAAATTAGGAGCTGGGCATTGGTGGCACACAGCACTCGGGAGGCAGAGGCAGTCTGATCTCTGTGAGTTGGAAGCCATCCTGGTCTACATACTGAGCTCTAGGACAGGTTCCAAAGCAATACAGAGAAACCCTGTCTTGGAAAAAGAAAAACAGAAATTATGCCAGGTATAGTGGCACACACCTTTAATCCTAGCTCCTAGCAATGGGGAGATAGAGGCAGGCAGATCTTTGAGTTCAAGGCCAGCCTTGTCTATAGAGTGAGTTCCAGGACAGCCAGAGCTATGTAGTAAGACCCTGTCTCAAAAAAAAAGAAAAAAATAAGTTTTATTTTTACTTATTTACTCTATGGATATGGTTTTTGCCTACATGCTTGCCTGTACCATGTGCACACATCCGTGCCTTCAAAGGCCATAAGGGGCATCAGATCCCCTGGAACTGGAGTCTCAAATGGTTATGAACTGTCATGTGGGTACTAGGACCTGAACCAGGTCTTCTGGAAGAGCAGAGTCATCTCTCGTTGAATTTTGTATATCTAAATTACTACATTTTATTTTTTATTTTTTGGTTTTTCGAGACAGGGTTTCTCTGTGGCTTTGGAAGCTGTCCTGGAACTCACTTTGTAGACCAGGCTGGCCTCGAACTCACAGAGATCTGCCTGCCTCTGCCTCCCGAATGCTGGGATTACAGGCGTGCGCCACCAACGCCCGGCCTATTACTACATTTTAGTGTGTGTGTGTGTGTGTGTGTGTGTGTGTGTGTGTGTGCACGTGCACATGCCTGCTGGCACAAATGCCATGGTGCTCACTCAGAGATTAGAGAACAACTTGCTGGAGTTGACTCCACCTGGGGATTGGCTGGCTTGTGGGTGACACCAGAGAAGGTACAGACTGCTCATGCTCCTACAGGAGTTTTTTTTGGCAAAAGAGTCTCATTTTTTCGGTTCACTCTTGAGCCTCCCCTTCTAAATCTGTGGTGTCCTACCCCCAAGCTATAGTTGCACTCCTCTTTAAAGCGCAAAAGATTGCCTTTCAAAACTTTGGTAAGGAGCCAGATCAGGTTATTACACCTTTGTCCTGTCAACTAACAGAATGGCTGCAAAATAATAATCATGACTGGGCCATTTTTCTCTCTGCTACCCAGAGTTATTTTGATAATAATTACCCATCCAACAATTTGGTTTCCTTTTTAAAGGAATGCATCATTTGATTTTCCCAAAAATTGTAGTCTCTCAGCCTATTTCTATGGGGCAAGTGGTTTTCAGATGGTTCCTCTAAAGGCACAGCTGTAGTCGTGTCTTATCCCATTAAGACATCCAGAATTCCTGCAACTTCTGCCCAAATGGTCGAACTTTCAGCCCTGGCCTTGGCTCTACAACTCTTCCCCATGGAAGCATTAAACGTCTATACCAACAGTCAATATGTTGCTCATATTATCCAACCCTTGGAGACTGCTGCCTATGTCGTTCCTATCTCTAGGATACAAGAAAGTTTATTACAGGTACAAGGTCTGCTATGGCAATGGAGCGAACCTATATTTGTGGGACATCCTAGGGCCCACACCCCTTTGCCAGGGCCCCTCAGCGAAGGAAATTGCATGGCTGACAGGTATGCTCAAATTGGTGTGGTTTTACAAGGGCTCACTAAAGCACAATCCCTACATAAGCGCTTTCATCTCAGGGCAGGGTCTTTATGCTTTCATACTGGGATTACCAAAGAAAAGGCTCTTCAGATAGTTAAGGATTGCCCTCTTTGTGTAGAATTTCTTCCTGTGCCTCACAAGGTTAATCCTTGAGGACTTTTGCCAACCCACATTTGGCAAATAGATGTAACGCATGTGCCATCCTTTGGTAAATTACAATTTGTCCATGTATCTGTAGATGCTTTTTCCCACCTGATATTCGCCTCTGCCCACTCTGGTGAAGAAGTAAAAGATGTTAAGAGCCACTGTTTACAGGCTTTTGCTTACATGGGGGTCCCAAAACAAATTAAGACCAATAATGGTCCTGCCTATGTCAGCAGCAGTTTCAATCACTTTTGTCTAGATTTTGATATTTCCCCCCAAACTGGAATACCTTACAATCCCTGAGGGCAGGCTATTGTGGAACGTGCTCATTGTACTCAAAGCCTATTTAGCTGTCTCAAAAAACAAACAAAACAAACAAACAAACAAAAAAAAGAGTTCAGGGCTGGCCTGGGTCACACAGTGAGCTCCTTCCACAAGTACAGAAAAGGGAGGGAGCCTAGAATAACAAGTTACATTAAGAAGCCTGTGCTTCTTTTGTCACTTTGCCCCATGGGTTGCAACTATGGAGACTGAGCTTGGGTGTCTACTGGGAGAGGAACAAGAGTCAGAACCTTCTTTTGGGAAGGAGGTGGAGACGAACTAAGGAAGGGAGCTTATATCTACCAAGCTGATGGCAAAGATCAAATCAGGCTACTACTACGTTTTTCCAGGGAAGGCTGAGACAGCTCTTGGTACCAGTGCAAAGATGCTTAAGAACAGTATAAGGTTGTAGAGTCTACTCTGCCTGATGAAAGACAGCAACAGAATCTGGGGCTCATGCAATCTAGGAGGCGCCCTCTGTAGGTTACAGACATGTGTTATTTGACATACAAAACCTCCAAGTTGGGAAATTTCTAGTTATTTTGTTTACTCTTCTTTTTTCTTTTGTAGCTTTGGAGGCTGTCCTGCAACTCACTCTATAGACCAGGCTGGGCTCAAACTCACAAAGATCCACCTGCCTTTGCTGCCTCCTGGGGTTAAATGCATGTGCCACCACTGCCTGGCTTGTTTTTAGACAGGGTCTCACTATGTATCCCTGGTTGGCTTGGAACTCTCAGAGATCTGCCTCCTGAGTATCAGGTTAAAAGCACATAATCTCGTCACTTGGGAGACACAGGCAGGCAGATCTCTGAGAGTCTTGAAAAAAAGATTAGAGAGAGATGGCTCAGCTGTTGAGAGTGCTTGATGCTCTTGTATAGGAAACAGGTTTGTTCCTAGCACCTACATGGTAGCTCCCAACGGCTTATAACCACAGTCCCAGAGGATCTGACACTTTCTCCTGAAAGCACCACACATGTATGCAGTACACATGTACACATGCTGAGAAAATACTCATAAAAGATCAGCTGGGGCTACAGGGTGAAACTAGCAACAACCAAAAATGGCACCACCAGACATTTACTGCCCTTGATTCACCCACCTGGAGATTCAGTAATCCCAGCAATCAAGCAGAGTGGCAAACTCAGCTAAACCTCTTCTCACATGCCCTGCAGGGAGAGCAACAGAGCAGAGCAAAGGTCCCGGGCGGTGAGTGGTCCAGCCTTTTTTTTTTTTTTTTTTTTTTTTTTTTGGTTTTTCGAGACAGGGTTTCTCTGTATTGTTTTGGAGGCTGTCCTGGAACTCACTCGGTAGATCAGGAACTCACAGAGATCCGCCTGCCTCTGCCTCCCTAGAGCTGGGATTAAAGGCGTGCGCCACCAACGCCCGGCAGGATTTTATTTTTTAACAAGTTCTCATCTAGGTCATGTAGGGAAAAGGGACCACACCCTAAACAGAGCCAAAGAAGCACACTTTGGCCCTGAAACCAGAGCCAAATCTGAGCCTAACCATGTGCAGAAAAACTAACCAATCCTTGAGCAGGAGCTCTAGCCAATCTGAGCTCAGCATTAGGATCTGACCAATCACCACCCTGGAAGCCCTATATAAAACCCTGTGGCTGTTCTCGCACCAGGCTGTCCTCTGCCACTCTAGCAGAGGTTAGCCACTCTCCTGGATTCTTCCCTCCCAATAAGCCTCTTTGATGAGCTTTTGGTGAGGATCTTTTAAGGCAGCAGAGGAGCAGAGGGGACCTTAGGCAGAGCACTTCTGCCAGGGAGACCTTCCCTTGGCAGAACAGAGTTGTTACACTTCGCTCTCCACTCTCCAGGAGCAGAGCTAAACTGTAGCAACTTCCCCCGAGAAACCTCCTGCCTACCAAAACTGCTACACTGGGCAAACATCCCCAGCTGGAAGACCCTCTCCTGCCAGAGCAGAGCGGATACACTGGGGAAGCCTTTCCCTGAGGCAAGGCTGTAAGCAGCTAAGCTTACTGAAACCTGTGGTCCTTGGCTCCCGAGCTCCAGGATACCTTTCCACCTCATCTGTGTAATCCAGGCTGATTTCAAACGTCTGATCCTCCTGCCTTGCCTTCCTCATGCTGGGATTAAACCTGTGAGCTACCACTGCTGCCCTAATTTTGAATGAAAGCTTCTTTCACAGGCAAGCACTGTACCACGGTTTTTTGACAGTGTCTTGCTAGGTAACCTAGGCTGGTCTGATGAAGTCTGGCCTTCCTTCGGCCTGTATTGCTACTATTCAGGGGTTCCATATCCCGGAAAGAACAATTACTGAAATCTAATTTTGCATTGGGCACTTTAGTCAGAACGCAAATGCGCTCAAGCAAATCATTTTAATGCTCATCAATACTTTTTAAAGAAATCCCACCTACCTAAAGTCACCTGTACTAGATATTTCCTGTCCTAGGGATTTTTTTTGGCATTTGAGACTCCGCCCACCGGGCCCCAAGTGGCGGAAGAACCTCACGCTACGAAGTGACACCTCACACCACCGCGGAGACTTTCCGACGTTACGCTGGTGGCGTGGGAGGGGCGGGCGGACCGGCGCTTCCCTTTCGCCGCTTTGGCCCCGCCCACGCTCGTTGTGAAGCAACCGCTGCCGCCAGCCTTAAAGGTGGTTCGGGACCTAGAGACCTAGAGGTGCGCTGAGCGCCTGCGCGGCTTCTTCTGCGCTGCAAGGGCTTGGCCCGCCAGATCCACAGGCTCGAGCCTCCTCTCCTTTCCGGAACCAGCCGCCTGCCGGCGCTCCCCCGCGCCCCTCCCCCGCCGGCGCTTCCGCCCGCGCTCCTCCCTCTCTCCTCCCCCCAGCGACGCGCACGCGCTCCAGGCCGGCTCGCGCCCTCTCGCTTTCCACCGGCCCGCGAGATCCCCCCTCCCCTTCCGCCTCGCGGCGCTTCCTCGCGCCGCGGTCTTCTCGATCCACCCCTGACATCGCGGGGCTCCCCCCGCCCGCCAACGGCGGGTCCCCTGCTTCGCGATCTCTCTCGCTTCCCGCGCTCTCCAGAGGGGGCCCAGCCCCGGGCCCTCTTTCCCTCCCCTCTTATTTCTCTTCCGGACGCTGCCATCATGTTGAAGCCTCAGCCGCCACAACAGACCTCCCAGCCCCAGCAGCCGCCCCCCACGCAACAGGCCGTGGCCCGTAGGCCTCCCGGCGGGACCAGTCCTCCTAACGGCGGCCTCCCGGGGCCGCTGCCCGCCACCACGGCTCCCGCGGGACCTCCTGCGGCCGTCTCTCCCTGCCTGGGGCCTGCAGCCGCTGCCGGGAGCGGGCTTCGCCGCGGAGCCGAAAGCATCTTGGCGGCGCCACCGCAGCATCAAGAGCGGCCGGGGGCAGTGGCAATCGGCAGCGTCAGGTGAGGACGGGACTTCCTGGCGGGGGAGAGCCCGGCGGAGGCGCGCCCGCTTTCGGCGCCGTTGAGGGGCACTTGGGGCCCCGAGCCCCATGAAGGTGGGGGTAGACCCTCATGCCAACAGGTCGGAGAGAACCGTCTCCGGGCGGTCTCCAGGAGCCTAGGGGCGGTGCTCGGCTGTCTGGGCCTACTCGCCGCTTGGGGTCTGGGCCCTGAGGGGAGGCGGGGCGCGTCCCGCCAGCTCCGTCGGAAAAGGGTGTTGGGGGGGTTGAGGAGGCGATGGGGTCCCCAGCTCCATTACCACGAAGGATCTCGCGGTCCCCGGTTCCAGCCAATGGGGAGTAAGCTGCAAGAAGGGGTCCCCGGCTGTAGCCAATAGAGGGGGGGCGCGCGGCCCACAGTTTGACCAATGGGGAGGGAGGGACTTGGGAGCGGACTGCTCCCTCCTCTGCCCGGTGTAGCCAGTAGGAAGGGAACCGGGTGGGCGGGGGCGCGGAAGCAGCGGCTACTGGGAAGACTGCAGGCTGGGAAGCTGCTGCGCGCGCGCGCCCTTCTCGTACGTGCGCGCGGATGCTGTCTTATGACCCGGGCATTGGCTTGCCTTGATAACACGTAAAGCTGAGGCAGGGGAGGGAGGGCTTGCATGGAGGGTTTAGGGGTGCCTGGTATTGGTGAGTGAGGAGTGGGTGCTCGCATTTTTCGGTGTGTCAACGCGATGGAGAGTGGGGCTAGACGCAGGCGCAGTGACTTCTGTTCGGGAGGGGGTGGGAGAGGGCTGTGGGAGAGGGTGCTTTAGTGCGCAGGCGCAGACCGGGCGAGGCATCCCGGTGGATGGCTTTTGCGGCTGCGCGGTCCCCCAGCCCCGCCAACGGCCCCCTCCTAGCCCTCCTCAACCGCCAGTTACATCAGCCGTCGAATAGCACTGTAACCTGGCGATTGAGTATCCCTTCAGAGTGGGTAACAGACTGAATGAGTGATGAGGGCGAAAGGGTGGGGTTTGGAGAGTATACCCATTCTGGGATTGGTAATCTAAAGATTCTGAAAATGCTTTTTTTTTTTCCTTTCCTTTGAGCTAAGCGGTGCTGCATATGGGATGCCCGTGCTTTCACCTTCTCAACTGTATTGGGCTGTTGGTTTTTTTTTTAATATTATGGCAGTGGTTTACTGGAAGCATGAAGTGCTGGCCCCTTGGAGAAAGTCAGAAGGTTGCATTGCATTGGCCGTTCAGAGCGTTTGACAGCCATTGTTTAATGAATTTTTGTTGTTTTTTTTTTTTAATCTGGCATTTGGAGAAAATGTTTTGGCAGTTAATGCCTACTTTCTTTTTTAATGTGAGAGCTTGAAAATTTTTTGCTAGTTAATCAGTTGGTAGCCTAAATCAGCAGTTGGACATAGTACCTTATTCTAAGGTTCACTGTAAAACTGGTCTATTTCTTCTCTTACAGGGGACAGAGCACCGGGAAGGGACCCCCACAGTCACCTGTGAGTGTTTTGTTTTCCTCATGTAGAGACATTCTAATTAAAATAAATGGGCCGGTCTGGGAAGAAGCACAGTATTACCTTTGTGTTCCCTTTATGTGACAGGTGTTTGAAGGTGTCTACAATAATTCCAGGATGTTGCATTTCCTGACTGCTGTGGTGGTAAGTGAGAGCATTAAGAGTGTTTGAGGAGCATGCCCTTTCAGTTTCCTGCAGTGACTTAATTTTCTCTCCTCCTAGGGTTCTACTTGTGATGTAAAGGTGAAAAATGGCACCACTTACGAGGGCATTTTTAAGACTCTGAGCTCAAAGGTAAGTGCACTCAAATTAGCTTATTTCTGAAGCTGAGTAGCAGAATGAAATTGAGGATATGTGTTGGTTGACACCAGACAGTTTTGAAGCGTATGCTAAGATGGCTGGCCAGTGTCAAAGGCAGCGTAGCGTGAGAATTTGGTGTTGAAAGATGAGACAGTTACTTTTCCCTCTCTTATACTGACCCTGGGTGTCGGGATTGGGTTTTGTAGTTTGAACTGGCAGTAGACGCAGTGCACCGCAAAGCATCGGAGCCGGCAGGTGGGCCCCGGCGGGAAGACATTGTGGACACCATGGTGTTTAAACCAAGCGACGTTCTTCTGGTCCATTTCCGAAATGTTGACTTCAATTACGCTACTAAAGGTATTGTGCTAGGCTGTTGTGTCAAGCCCACGGAGTAGAAACAAGTCCACGGTTGAACATGCTGCCTTCATTGTCTTCTAGCACCTCTCTGGGTAGAGGTGATTGAGTGTTCCTTCTTGAAACTCTAAATGTCTACTAGTAGAGTCCAGTGAATGATGACTGGTGTTGTCGTTATTCCTGTTTCTCTTGTTTAATTATCAACTTTTGCTCTTGAATTATTAGATCTCTGGTTTGGGTGTGTTTTGTATTTTTGTGGTAGGGTCTTTCTATGTAGCCCTCGCTGGCCTCCTTGAACTATTACACATCACATTGTCTCTGCCCCCTGAGTGCTGGAGTACTGGCATTTGACACCTCATCTAGGTAGATCTGTGTTTTAATAGTCCTGCCTGTTGCCAACACAAACACAAAATCTAAATGTGGTGTTATGTAAAACTACACTGAGTCAGGAAGTGACGGTGAGAAGTGAGATGGCGCATCCCCTGATTTTTGCTTTTCACCTCTGCCACACAGATAAGTTCACTGACTCAGCCATCGCCATGAACTCTAAGGTGAACGGAGAACACAAAGAGAAGGTTCTCCAGCGCTGGGAGGGCGGTGACAGCAACAGTGATGACTACGATCTGGAATCTGATATGGTATGTTCTCCTTTCCTAAGAAGAGGACAGGCTCAATGTGGGTTCATCTATTCCTTTTTAAATATTTTTTCCTTTTATGTTGGTGTTTTGCCTACATGTATGTCTGGGTGAGGATGTGCTGGAACTGGACAGCTAAGGGCCTCTGGATGCTGGGAATTGAACCTGGGTCCTCTAGAAGAGTAGTCAGTGCTAGTAATAGCAGAACCATCTCTTCACCCCCAAAAGTGTGTTCTTGATGTAGATAAAGGTTCATTGTTTTTTGTGGGGGTTCATCTTGTTTTGAAGTCTGTTCTTGGTTCTTGGAAAGGAAGATGGGAAAAGGGTCAGTTTTTTTTTTGTTTTGTTTTGTTTTTTGTTTTTGTTTGTTTTACCAGACAGGGTTTCTCTGTATTGTTTTGGAGGCTGTCGGTCCAGCCCAGCCTCAAACTCACAGAGATCCACCTGCCTCTGCCTCCCGAGTGCTGGGATTAAAGGCGTGTGCCACCACCACCCGGCAAGGGTCAGTTTTCTTATCCTCAGCATTGACAACTTCATGGCATTGATTTTTCATTGTTGTAAAAGTTATAGCCAGGTAGTGGAATGATGCATAAGGTGACTGCTGTGTGGCTACATATTTATTCACAAAAACAACTACTTGAGTAAGGTTTTAAATGAGGCTGGCAAGGTGGCTCAGCGGGTAAAGGTGTTTGCCACTAAGGCAAGTGGTAAAAAGGAACAGATCCTGCAGGTTGTCCTCACACTTCTATATGCCTGCTTTGCAAGTTTCTTTATTCATAGAGAGCCATGACAGCAATTCCGATTCCAGAGTTTAGAGTATAAAAGCAAGAGGACCAAGCACTCCTTAGCCCCTTGCAATTGGGTCATAGGAGACCTTTTCTCAAAAACAAATTTTGTTGGACTGGAGAGATAGCTCAGTGGATAAACTATTGGGTGTTCTTCCAGAGGACCCATGTTCAATTCCCAGCACCCACATGGTGACTCACACCCATCTGTACCTCCAGTTCCAGGGGCTCTGACTCTAAACACAGGCAAAACGTAAACCTTTTAAAAAATAAAATTTTGTTAATGAATGCATGTTGGTTCATTCAATTTGTACAGGAGTTTTTTTTTTTTTTTTAATTTGGTAGACAGAAATGGCATGTCAGTTTTTAAACGTTCTTCCTGTTCTCTAGTCCAATGGATGGGATCCCAACGAGATGTTCAAATTTAATGAGGAGAACTATGGAGTGAAGACCACTTATGACAGCAGTCTATCTTCTTACACGTAAGGTTTTTTTTTTTTGTTTTTTTTAACGAGACAGGGTTTCTCTGTATTGTTTTGGAGGCTGTTGGTCCAACCTGGCCTCGAACTCACAGAGATCCGCCTGCCTCTGCCTCCCAAGTGCTGGGATTAAAGGCGTGCGCCACCACCGCCCAGCCCCACGTAAGTGTTTTGAAACTTGGAGGGTGGTGGTGTTGGGTGGGTGGGGTTCGGGACTTCCTGTTCAGTAAGACAGACCTCTGAATAAAAGTTTTTATATGGTATGAATTTTCCAGGGTTTATAAGTAGTCCTCTATCATGGTTTGCTTGCTGAACTGTTTCTCTTAATCTAGGAATGTAACTCAGTTGTAAAGTATGTGCTATACAAGCATAAAGACCTGAGTTCTGTCCCCAGCAGCCCTTTAAAAAAGCCAGTGTGGTGGTAAATCTTGTAATCCTACTGCTCGGAATAATGGAATGGGGCAGGGGGCTTGCTTGTTGGCCAGCCAGCCTGCCTAACCTAATGTGAGCCCCCAAAGTATCAGGATTCAGAATGTATCATGGTGCTTTGCATAGGACTTGGTAGCTGCCTTTTGAGTATCTATACGCTGGCTGAATTGTGACTTAAGTTCACTAGTGGAGCAAGGCCCTGCTGCATTCTGCCCTCAGCACTACAAGAAGAAAAAAAAACCTAAAGTAATAGATTGAATGCATGAACTTGAACTGGTCATAGAGTTACAGAAGAGTTGTCTTTTCATTGTTTTCTTGCACTGGGACAATGATCTTTTTGGGTATATTTTCAGGGTTCCCTTAGAAAAGGACAACTCAGAAGAGTTTCGGCAGCGGGAGCTACGTGCAGCTCAGTTGGCTCGAGAGATTGAGTCAAGTCCCCAGTACCGCCTCCGGATTGCTATGGAAAACGATGATGGGCGAACAGAGGAGGAGAAGCACAGTGCAGTTCAGCGGCAGGTGTCTGGGCGGGAGAGCCCCAGCTTGGTGTCCAGGTAACTATGGGGGTGACCAGGAGAGCTTTTGTACGTCGTTAGTAAACTTCACCACCTTACTAAGTATAAGTTAGTGGTTCCTAGTTTTGAGGTTTATACTGAAGCCTAGAAAATTGGTAATTTGCATGCAGCAAGAGTTGACGAGTTTTAAAAGTGATTTTGGGCCACGAGATAGTGGGTGCACACTTTTAATCCCAGCACTTGGGAGGCAGAAGCCGGTGATCTCAGTGAGTTTGTGGCCAGCCTGGTCTACAGAATGAGTACTAGCATAGCCAGGGCTACCCATAGAAACCCTGTTTTGAAAAACACAACCAAAAAAAAAAAAAAACTGGGGGTGAGGCGATATGTAGGTTTTTTTTTTTTTTGTTAATGTATTTGTGTGTATTCTGCAACAAAAATGAAATAAAAGGTCTTCCTTGGCCTTTCTGATATGTGAAGTGTGGTAAAATTGTGAAGCTTTTGGACTGGGT